CAGATTTGTTTGACTAAATACAGCAAAGCACATGAAACTATCTGCCTATGGCAGTGATGAGCAAACTTCTTTGGAAGCAGGCAAAAAAATAACAGAAAAAAGAAATTACTGGTCCAATATAATTCATTCTAAAACTTAGACTATACAAATATTAATGGTATGAATGAAACTGCAATAACTGCAGTTTTTAAAGCTTTTTAAATTCAAGTTCAAACAGTGATTTACTTATCCTGAGAAGTGATGCTAAATAATCACTAGTCGGTCTATTTCTAATAAAATTCTTCCTAAGGTTCATGGTAGAAAACACTTGTTTACACATAAAAAAGCAAACATAGCACTAATTTTCTGCCCATGAAATATTAAATTTGGAAAAATTTGCTTTTGCTAACAATCTGTAATACTCTAGTTTTAGAACACTGAGAAACAACTGCTTGAAATGCTTGCTAGATTCTAACTCAATTAATTGAAGCTACAAATCCGGACTCACTGCTTCACAATTCATGTTGAAATACATGGTGAAAATAACCAATTCTGTTTGAATGGCACTGAAATCTGCATTTAAACTTAACATGCAGTCTTCTCATGCCATGTTCAAAGCTCTTAGGTTGTTTTCATTTCCTGAGGATATTGAATTTAACCCCCGAAAATAAGACAAATTGTTGTTAGTCTAAAGCCTTTGAGATGGGCTCCGATATCATCAATAAAGAACTTTCCCCCCTTGCATTTTGACATTTAAGGTGTTCATAAGAGAAAAGACAATGAAAAAAGCAGAGTCCGAAAACCATGCTGTATCTTCCAACAATTCACATGCCACAAAACAATGTTTCTCATGGAAAAATGACACAATGGATCTTTCAAGTGTCAAATTTGTTCCAAAACACATTCTGCACTAAGCAACCTATTTTTCATGTAATACAGCCTGATCAGAGATTTCAGATTGCACAGACTGAAGAAAATCTTGAAACTCCCTGTCCACAACAAGATCAAAAAGTATTTATAAGCCCCATAATTACATGAACCTTTTGGACTATGTATGTTGATAACCAGTATTTATGACAACATAAATAATCGGAGATTCAAGTGCTGAACTGTTTGGACGCGTGTTTCGACGCTCCACTCGATTATGTGAGAAGCCTGTTCGTCAATGTAGACATTTACGTGTTCCGCTTATTGTGGTGAGCTATTTGAGATATTCTGTGCTGTGTTTTGAGGATTCATGCGATACACTTATTACTGTGTTACCCAAGTGCCTTGGATTACATCGATATAAAATGAAATAATTTATTAACTGTGCTGTATTATTTATATTCTCATCTCTAGAATTACTACGTGCTTTGAAGGAAAGTAAGTTTCCTTTGCTCGATAAAATGAATGCCACTGCAGCAATACACAGCCAAGTGGCTGAGTTCTCTGCCAACATGAAAAAATAAGTTGACTATGCATTAGAAAACAACTGGGTCGGATTATTAACTGCAGAAACTCTCTCATTAAACTACTATCTAACTATGCTTTAACAAATAAGTAGACTACACACTTGTCTCAATGAAAAGAAATTGGATCTGGAAACTCGAATGTCTAGTGTCAAATTTACGCAAGCAAAGCAATCGATGTGGACTGATTACCTCCAGGATAAGGAACAACTTGAAGGACTTCTGAACTTATTCAAAGGTAAGTGTGAATTTTACGGTGAGCACAATTCTGTTTATGCAAATGTGTCTCATACCGACCTTCTAGTATTTAAGTTAAATAATGTTATACTTGAGGCATGTAAATCTAGTAAAAATGTTAATCTTGTTTCTAATGATTGATTTGATGTCCATACTAGTATTCAGGGTAAATCCAATTCTGACTAATTTTAAAACTAAAAGGCAATTGAAAAAGTCTAAGAGAACACAATGAAATAAATGATACTGACAGCTTCACTCAGCTGCGTAATGTGGCTAGGCCTACCAAGTTAGTAAAGAGTAATGTGGATGTTACTGTTAGTAACAAATTTGAAAGCCTGCAAAAGTGATACTGATAATGATATGGAAACGCAAGATGAGCCTGAAGTGACAGAAGTTGTACTCCCTAAGGTTAAACCTATTATGGTCAAACCAGCAATACATGTAAATTGGAGCTAAGAGACTTGCAAATGTAATATGCTGCAATTGTAAACAACCAGGACATATTGCAAATTACCGTGGTTGTTTGAAGTTCCCATTTGTTAAACCTTATATAACATGACTAATGTTATATAAGGCTATTGACTTATAAAAACATGATTAATGTGTTAAATTCTGACTCTGATAATAACAGTAATAATAAAAATGCATATGTTATTCCTCGCCTTAGCCATGCCAGTGTGGCAAAAGGCAGAACTGGTAATTTTGCAAAAAATGTACAAACACCTAACAAAGCTATTCCTGATATTAAAAGTGACAAAAGCAAATCACTGAGGTGGGCACTAGTGCAATTACAGACATCTTCAACCTTCTCAAAGAACTGTATAACATGTTCAAAAACTTTCTTGTAACACTAACATATTCACTGAGCTGCAAGCAGCTGAACTTGCCATACACAAAATATTTACATTGTTCACAATTTTTGAAGAAATCTTTAGGAACACAATGTAATCTGTTTGTAATATTCTTTCTGGTATTTGCTCATAGTACTATATGTCTTTGATTATGATATTCTACCTTACTTACATTACTAATTAGTATCTTATCTCAGCATAGTTTTGGTGTATCTCTCTTGTTATTTTGATCCCTGTTTAATGTATTATGTATTGTCACCACTGTTCGTTAATTTCTTATTATAAGTGCACCTTAGGATTTACAGTTAAGTTTACTGTTTTTGTATGTATACATTGATATCCTAATACCTTAACAACAGCTCGACAGCACCCTTTTCAGCTTTCCAGATGGCATTTTTAAGTCCTTTTGAATTTTTTGTATGCTCTAGTCTTCTTAGTTCTTATCTAGTTCACTAATTATTTGTTAATGTCATTATTCAACCCTAAAAACTACATAAAAATCCTTAAAAAATAAAGTTATGTAGATATGTGCCTAGAATTACTAACTTATGGCAGTTATTTTCTTGTTCATAATTCCCAAACTACTTATTATTCGATAAGGGGTAGGGTCTCTGACCTAGGCACCCTGGTGCTACACCACTCTCTACATGAAGCACGAGTTTTAGCAGAATCTGGACTAACTGGCCAATCTGGATCCTAACTGTGATGCGAGATTTTTTTAATGGCTTCGACCCTAAAAGTCACTGCTTTTTATGATATGTCTCAAAGCTTTCTTTCTTTCTTTCTTTTTTTTTTCTTTGTTTGTTTGTTTGTTTTGTTTGTTTTTGTTTTTTTCATCTGGATATAAAACATCCCAAATTTGGAGCATGCACTGTTTAACAAATTCCCCATCAAGAAAAGCTTTATTACTTTTACCAATACTGTAGCCTACAATGTAACTTGCATGTGTAACTGCTTCTGGATATATTTTACTTTCTTAAAACAAATTTGTTGACTTGATAAGTCATTACAAAGATTTTCCCCTTTTTGTTTCTTTTAAATTCAGATATTCCACTGCAACTGAAATTCTTATGCTTTGTTGTGAAGAGATAGGAAATATTATGTTCCTTGAAGACTGCTAAGGCTTCAATGCAGATGACAGATACTGGTTTAGCCTTTACCTTTACTTTTTATCCTTCAATGCAGGTGACACATACTAGTTTATCCTTTACCTTTACTTTTTACCTTTATTCTTAACCTTTACATTTTTATTACTTTTTGCAAATGCATTCATTCATCTTTCAATGCATAATACTCTGAATCAACTTTACGTTTTTTAGTGGATATTTTTGAGTCAAAATATTTTACAAATACTCACGATAATCCAAACAAGCAGTGGCCAACAAAATACTTCTTAATTAATTTCACCACTATTCACAATGGTGCTATATGTCCATCATCTTTCAATTCAAAGATAAACACAAACAGTAATATCAGAACTGGTGCCCACAGACAAGCATAGAAAGACATGCTTATCAAGAGGCCGTCCAATCAAGAGGGGCACGATTATAGTGGTGCCGGGAACATGTCAATTGGAATGTGTCTGACTGGGGCAATGTCATGGTTACTGATGGGTCAAGATTTGCACTGCAGCCGGATGACAAGCATATAAGGATATGGCATGAACAATGAACACGCAATCAGTCCCAAAACATCAACAAACATCACACATTCCAAGGTGGAAGCATTATGGTGTGGGCAGGGATTTCATTAGGATACTGCACCGACCTGCACATCTTTAAACGAGGTTCTTTGACGCTGTCCGGTATCGAGATGACGTCCTAGAACTTATTGTGAGATTGTACGCTGCAGCAGTTGGCCCTACTTTTGTTTTAATGGACGATAACGCACGTCCCCATAGAGCTGACATCGTCGATGACTACCTGTAGAGTGAAGGGATTGCGCGTATGGCGTGGCCAGACCAAAATTCGCCCAACCTTAATCCCATTGAAAATCTTTGGAGATGCTCTCGGCCGGGCTGTATCTTCCGTTCACTTTTCCCACCTCCAGCCACTCTTATTGAGCTAGAAACCTGCTCTACAAGAAGAATGGCGATTGCTTAATTCTGCGGTGGTTGACCACCTAATTGCATGCTCACAAGGTGTAAACTTTGTATACAGATGAGGGGGAGGATCACATACCCTACTAATATCCTTTTTTTTTCATTTTATGCTTTTTATTTCCCCTTTAGACATAATTCTGTTCAAGTCTCCAGTATGTCATTATCTGAGAACTTACAAAATATTAATATTGCTTTCATTTCTGTACATAATTATTGATTTTGTTTTATGCATAAATATATATGCTACTTGTCTGCCAAATTTTGTGTCAATTAAAGCAGTATTTGTTGATTTTTTTGCATTTTACATCTTCGTGCTTAACTTTTGGAATTGAGTGTATTTAAAAATGCCAATTATAAATTGTAATTGAAAAAGCAAAATACTTGTGTCATTGAGCTCTTCGCTTGAGATGCCTTTTATTTGATCTTTAGGACCATCATTTAGCAAGACTTCTGCTTCTTCCCCATTTGAGCCATTGGTTTTTTCAGACGGCTGCTTATTTAAGTCATTCCTAAAATAACACAATTCATCTTAAAAACCTTTCATATTGAGCATATCCATGAAAAATATTAATTTTTAACTTATACTTTATTCACAAATTTACTGCCATTGATGGATTTAAGTTGACTCAATATCAATATATTACTTCACCTAAAAAAAAATAAACTCTAATAAAAATGATATAAGCTCATAAAGATAACAGTTTTATATAGTATTTTATTTATATGGAAGTTTTTTAAAGAAGGGAGAAAGAAGTATTAATACAGTTTTGTTTGACAGAACTTAATTAAAATATGCCTCAAAATTAACAGCAAAAGAACAATTGTATATGTGCTCGATAAAAAGAGTTTTATATATCACAAGCATCATTAAATTTTCAGATTTTACTTAATTCATTCATGGCATGTTTCAATGTGATTGGAATTTTCTAACCTACTTTCTCCTACGCTTTTGACTCAAATTTTTGTACATACACCACTGGTGGATGGCAAGCAATGTGATGAAAGAATTCCCCCCCCCCACATATCCTTATTTAATGAACAAATTAAATGTGTCAGAATTTTACTGTTTATACCATCGAACAGCACGGAAAAAAAAAAATCTTTTCAATGAAACCTGTCTGAAATCTGCAATTTAATTTCTGAATTTTGGGCAAATTTTTTAAAATCACCTACCTTTTTTTAGAGTATATGATATTTATGATTTGAAAATTTCAACATCTAAAAATGTATTGGATATAAAGTCTTGGAAATTTTCATATTATAAAACAATTGTTTTACCTCTTTTAAAACAAGAATGATAAAAAAATATTAATTAAGCCATTTTCTACATTTTTACAAAAATGTGTTGCAGTCTATAGCATAAAGGATTTTTCAGAGAAACACTGCTTTTGAATTTGCCATCTTGGTGTACTTAATAATGAAGTTTACCATCCTGGAATTCTTAATGATGAATTGGCAATACTTGTTTTTCATTTAAGCTTCATGTAAATAAAATGCGCATTTTAACATTATTCATCATATTTTGAAACTGAATATTCAAATGGATTTCTTCATTCTCTGAATGACATTATTTTTTTTATTTCATAATTTTCTAATAATTTATTGCTTTTATTTTAATAATGACTAAAACGTTCACTACTGATAACATATAACCGAGGCTTAAAAACAAAAAATAAAATACAATAAAAAAGATTTTTATATAACATGCTTTTATTTAAAATGAATATGATAATTAGTACACTAAAAGGAGAAATGTAATTTATCATATACTTTAATAGGAATAACAGATTAAAAAATTCTATTTACAGAATTTACCTACAATTTTATACTGTGAATAATAAAAATATGGCACACCTAAGTAACTAAAACTATTAATTTATCTGCACTGTGAAATGTATAAGCCATTAACTTTTTAAATTTTCTAATAATTTAATTGCACTGTCAAATGCACAAGCTATAAACTTTTTAAATTTATCATGGGCACCCCATGCTTTTATTATTCATGATACAAAATGATAGATGAATTCCGAAACTAGAATTATTTAATTTATTACTCCATTAATTATCATTCCCATTTTAAGTAAAAGCTTATTGCATAAAAGCCTTTTTATAATTGCATTTTATTTTTAATCTGCTTCAATTACTATTTTTATTTCTAACTTGTTACTCTCTATTTCACATATACAATAATTAATTTGCCAAATAAAAAATCACAACGAAGTTTTGATTTAATGAGCTATATATTTACTGCAGAACATACTATTAAAAGTAATTCTGAGACATACATGAATTTTTATATATAAAATATCTGCTTTTTAAATAAATAAGTCTTTTCTACTCTGGTTATCTAAAAGTGCATTTCATATTTAGTATTCAATCTATTTTATTTTTGTTGTTATGTTAATGATTTCCTGTTCTATTTATAGCTTTGTTAGAAACTCTGGTACATTCTGCAAGAATTTCTTACCAAAATCTCCAGAGGTTGTTGCTGATGTTTATTTTTTATATCAAATCTACCGAAATACAATGAACTGTTATTATCAAATCTTTTTATTTAATCAGATAGAGACTTCATTTTCATAATTCTCAAATGGTCTTTTAATCCAATCATACTTCTCAGTTTCTTTTGAATTTCTCTTTAGTTTTTTACGACTGAGAAATGTACACTAATATGCAATTTTTAACTCAGTCAAAAAATTCAATTGATTTTCATTAGAAAACTATTAAACTCTTCAAAGCTTTTTACATTAATGCTGTTGGCATATTATGACCAAGTCAAACTGCATAATGTTTACACTTTATATGTTTGGCTTTACAGTTCTCATCATATTAAAAAATTCTTTTAAATTTTGATTTTGACTAGTGGAATCTTTAGAGGGTTTACTTGGAATTCCATGATCTTGTAGAATATAGTAATTTACATTTCAGCCAAATAAATAATACTTCATGATAAAATAGATAGAGTTCATTCCACTTGCCCTTTTTCAGTTAGTGGGGGTGGAAACTGTTGCTTCCAGACCAACAAAAATAAATGCAAAAAGATAAAAAGATGGAATAATTTGTATATGTAGAAGGCAGAGATGATATTATATTGCAGAAATAAGCTAATGCACTTAAGTAATTGTTTCAATATATATTGCACCATGGGATTTCATGAAATAAACTAATAAAATTATGGGTATTTATAATTCAACCCACTCAAAAAGTATCTTTAATATTGACAAAAAATCTGGATTATGGATTAGTTGACTGATTACACTGAAGTCCTGACAGAAAATTGAATCTTTCATCTGTTCATAGCAAACGCAAATGGATTAGTAGCCCCCCCCCCAAAGAGAAATTTTGAATAATGAATATTTTAAATGACAAATTTACCCAAACTACTCTTCTCCTTAAATAATTTCTTAAAAACTTGTGAGAAAGCTATGCCTTTTAGAGCATCATTACACAGTTTTTATTTGCTCAAAGCATTCCAAAAGGTGGATATTGCAATACATGAAATGATTCAGAGTTTCAATTTCCTAAATACATATATAATTCCTAAATACATTTTCATATCATACAATCACATACAATCACATTTTCCTAAATACATATATAAACAAGGGTGAGAACCCTTATCTGAAAATAGAAAAATTGATTATTCTATATTTTTACTAAAATGCATACTAGCATACATATTTTTACTCAAGTATACAACAATTAAGAAAATTACATAAAAATGAAAACACACAGAAAATACTTTGGGAGTTGAGGATTTTATAGAACAATTAAAGTAACCGAATTTTGAAAACACATCAAATTTAAATAGAAAATTGGTTAATCTTTGGATTATGGTAACTTGGCGATTTTTTGACGACCAACCCTGCTACAGCAATCTACTAGTTTTTGTTTGGACGCCATTTTGTTTTCACGAAGGCTTTTTTTTACTCAACATTTTTCCCAACAAGCTGCTAGCTGAATTACGCTTATGCTAGAACTTTTATGGAACAAAAGTGCTTGATCATGACGAAGATTAGGTGCGAAATTGGGAGAAAGTGCAGAATCGCAAACTGCTTGCCGCGGTTTTAAGAATTGCACATACACAGTATCCATGTACACGTCGACCTATTTTCACTTAAAAAAACATCCCAGAATTGCACAAAAATGGCATTGCACACACTCTTGATTTTATCCATGTACACTGCTAAAGTCCTAGCTAGTAACTTTTATCGCCTTACCAAAATGTTGCCAATCTACCTATTACCACATTCCAAAGATTAGCCATAAAATTTTTTTCAAAAAAATATAAAATAAGTTTTTTTAAATAGCTTTTGCGAAATTATAAGCAATATTTTTAAAACTATTAGATAATGCTTACTTATTCCTGGTTTGTATGTTCACACATAAAACTCAAAAAATTAATTATAGGAAAAATTAAATGATGTATATGTATCCCATTACAGTGTTAGAAGGTTTTCGTTATTAACAGTAAATTTAAAATGACTGGAGGATAATAAATGCAATTAATTTCCATAATTTATTTTAAAACGCATCTATATAAATAATATATTTTTAGTGCTGTAGTTTACTTTTTTCTGAGAATCTTATCAACTAGTAGGAGGTCAAGTTAAGGATTATTCACAATATTATTTTACAAAGTTCACTAGCTTCAAATTAACTCATTTACCACTAAAAATTAAAAGAATCATACCAGTTTTTTATGCAATTATTTTATATATTTTAGCAAATTAATTAGAAGGAAAGAATATCCTTTGATCTCAGTAAAATAAGAAAAATATATCTATTTATTCATTCACAAATTGTTTGCAACATTTAGCACAAGCCACTGAGAGATATCGAAATTTTTTTTAAGGGCTGAATTTAGTGTAGAAATACTGAACGATATGCATTAACTAACATATATGGGAGAAGGCAACTAAAGCAAGGTTTCAGTTACAAGGATTCACATTAAGCACAATTAAGTTCTGAAGATATCTGAAAAACCAATTTTCTGTTTTTAGAAATTTCAAAAAGTAAACTGCATTTGTGTTGTACTGTGATTCCAGTAATTTTTATTTTGAATCAGTTCTGAAATTTTTTTTGTTTTTCCATTCCTTTTATTTAAAACAAGATGTTCAGAGATCCACTAAACAAAAATGATACTACAAGCAATATGTAAAACATTATAAATGATATAAACTTTAACAATTTTAAATATAACAAAATTATAAGAATTAAAAAGCATACATACTGATCAACACTTTTGTCTTCATTTGAATCTCCAGCTACAATTAGCTGGTATCGAAATGCTCTAGGTAACAGTGAAAAAGAATCCCCATTTACTAGCCTATGAGGAACATCTTTTTTCAGAATCTGACCAGGACTATCAGCAGTTGGTTGGAAAAAACAAGGATTCACATGAGTCTGAAAACAGATTCCAAATATTAAAGAAATAATAATAAAATAAATCTATATAAGAAAATCTATGTAAATTACCATATGCACTCATATATCTGTAATAGCATTCCTTTAAGGAAAAAAATAATATATGGAGTTATCATGTGAGTACAAAGGTAAGGGTGGATGGACTAAATACAGTACCTCTTACATGCCAAGTGATAGGCAATAATATCTAGGAAATCATTCAAACAAATTTTAAATTAATAGACATCTTAAATGCAACGGGTAGAACTGAAAATGATTTGCTGTTAGAAAAGTAAATGCTCTCAATCGTGACAGTAAAATGGATTATTCATTACAAGATTAGAGATCAGAAAACAAGAATTGTTATTGTACAAATATTAAACAATGTGTGTTTGTAAACTCCTGTTATTACATAAACAGTTGAATATGTTTTAAATAATGTTTAAAAATAACCATTAAGAAGTCTGTTGTTGAATGCATATGCTTCAACCTGTTTTAAATAAAACTCAAAACTTCTTTATGGAAGTAGGAGTTTTGAATTCTTTTAAATTGTAAACATTTAATTATAGTATTTTCATGTATCTCTCTTTCTTTTTTTCCTTCTTCCGAATTACTGAACATTTAGATGACAACCACCTAGCTGATAAAACATTAAGCCAATACGTGAACTTCTCTTGTACATGTGTGCTGATCACCTATAGCAGTAATTCAAGCCAAGAAGAAGATTATGAATTTGAAGCTGTCTAGTTAAATCTGACATAATACTCCTTTACAAGCAGAATTTTACAGATTGTGTAAATTGTGATTCATAAATCGATATCTGTTAATCTGTGATACAGGGTGGGCTTGGCAGCATCCAATACCAAAAGTTAAGAAGGAATACTTGATTTAAACAGCTTTCAACTTTGGTTATTAGACAAGCAGTGCTTGATCAAACATGTCGTGCACAAGAATTTAAAGCACTTTTTACATTTGTTGAGCCAATTCAGAGCTCTGCTTTAAAAGGTAAAATATATTAGATCAATATCTAAAACTTTTGAAAGTATATTTTTATTGTGTGGGTATGCTTAAAATATGCGGGAATAAATAACTGACCAGCACAGCTTTTTTTATTATTATTTCTAATGCAGCTGACAATACGAAGACAAATATCCTTATGCTACGCACAGATCCCAAAAATCTACAAAAATACAATAATAATGCAACAGAATACATAGTACAATAATTTACACAGAGAAGTCTGAAGTACAATGAAGAATTACACAAAAAGAAAAATAGAAATGGAGAAAAGTAAGTTAAAACAAGATCAAGTCTGTAGTCTGTTTAAAAGGTCTCTAGCCTACTAGTATCTGGAAAAAACACTCTTCTGAGAGAGCACTGTACAAATGATAAGATAACCAGCATTCATCACCGCACCATTGCAGCAAAGAGGGCAGGCAGAATAATCAACTATTTAGAATCTGTGAAGGTAAGCATATAAACAGGCATGCATTGATAATAGATAAAAGTCAGCTACAACACTGCTCCTGGGATATTCTGGAAGATTATAGATGTCACTCTCGCAGAGTTTATCTCTTGTTCTTTCTTTTAGTTGTAACGGTTGCTTGGATTTGAAGGTTATATTGGTTTTTGACAATACAGACTTATAACTAACCTGGCCATTTAAAACGTGAATAATATGGCATCCTCTTTCGGCCAGCTCAGCTGCCTTTTCATCTACGGGCATGCCACCCAGAAGGAATCCACTGTAAAATGATTATTTTATGTTTTAAGTAATTCTCATAATAGGGATCTACATAACTTTACAGTTAAGGAAATAGAAGCTTGGCAACCATTAGTAATTGCCAGTATTGCTGCCCAAGTCTGAGAATATGGCAAACTATTCGAGAAGGGAAGGACGGGCATTGTGAGAAATGCTCACAGATAATTCTGGCTCCAGCAGCACGATTTATATCAAGTTTTGAGTTATCAGTAGAGATGTGCATTCAAAGGTGAGGAGGATAATTTTCATACCTGAGCTGAACAAAGCTGTACTACAATCTTGAGTCTTTGAAACATGGTTCAAAAGATACAAAAAGTAAGAAGTCATTATAAGCTTCGAAAGGGTTAGTTGGTGTTAATAATAGCTCAACCCAAGTCGAAATCTCAAGCCCATTGATCTCCCTCTAGACAGCTTACGGAAAGCTTTCCTGGATTTTCAGTCTGCGGGGACAAAGTCCAGAACTAATCCAAGGTTCAGTATGCGGTAAATGTGTTAATTATTGATAAAGCTTCCTTTGTTCAGTACGCCATAAACGTGTTAATTATTGATAAAGCTTTCTTTATTTTATAGTATTTTCTTTATTTTATAGTGCATACATTTCATCATATTATTCATTCCTTTTTGAGAGACCATAATAAGTGCAGCATTGCAATAAATCATTACAGGTTTTACCAAAATCCTATAGGTAGCTAGAAGAGTTGAGGTTGCACAACCCCATTTAGCTCCCGCGAGACGTTGGACCAATTAGATTTGTATTTAGGACTAGATGTCTAAAGGACTAGTTCATCTACATGCATAAGTACTTCAGTATTCTTTTCAATCAGGGAACATAGCAGGTCATCAACACCACGTCCAACAATAAGAAACTAAACACAGCTTCCTGAGGGAGGTCAGTAAGTAGTGCCCTGGTGCCAGCAACTGTTCACTTGGAAGACTGCATGATACAATGATACAACCATCGGTATGATGAATGAGAAATCCACGCAAACTGTTTTCCCACTTATCCATGGTCCAGTCTCGATGTTCCCAGTTCAACTACACGCACAGCTGACAACGATACTTGATGAACAGAGGCACACAGGTAGGATGTCTGCTGTGCAGTCCCATAGCCAACAGTATCCACTGAACTGTTGTTCTGAAATACTTGCACCTGGACCTGCATTGTATTGGGCTGTCAGCTGAGCACTGTCTGGTGTCGATTTTGCTGTACCTAATGGGACAGTTTCTGAAGTCCTTTTCCTTTGATGAGATGTGGACATCCAACACCTTGGCAGCTACTGCTGGTTTCCCTGTCATTTATCTACTTTGCATAAATACTAACAATGGCAGATCGTGAACAACTTACAAGTCATGCAGTTTCTGAGATACTTGCTTCGAGCCTTTGGGCCATTACAATAGGACCCCTATCAAATTCACTTAGATCAGTAGTCTTTCCCATCACTCGCAAAAGCGCAAGAATAATCCCTTACCTTCTCCAACAGCAGTTAAATACCATTCTCACTCAATCACATGCTCTCCGCATACACATACACATTCCAGTACTTTCTGCATTTTTAAAAATTAATTTCTTTTCTCACTTTTCTGGGGTATAGTCTTCTTTATTTTCATTGCATTTAAAGATAATTGTGACATGAATATTAGCTAGAACCTAACAATACACTGCCAAAAATATCATCAAACTCTGATTCCTGCAACCACTTGACAGTCCTAGAAATTGTTTCATATACTTGTAAGATAGAAGCAACCCTTCATTATTTTTGTTATTAACGTCCTCCTTTTTTGGAGAAAGATATGACAAAGTCAGAATGTCTTCCCCCTCCCCCTTTTTTAATCTTAACATGAACTTTGGATAAATTACAGCAAGCACACAGCTGCACTGCAGCCTTTTTTTTTTTTTTTTTTTTTTTTTAATAAGCAAAAGTCTTGGGAAATGTTTATCCATATCATATTAATTTTTAATCCCATTTTGCATCATGTGTTTATAAAATATACCACGAAATGAAGAAAAAGCAAACCATTATTTCCACATGTGTAGTATTTCAAAAAAAAAAAAAAAAAAAAAATCACAGGTGCTGCAAATCTCACAAAGTGGAATTTGATATGATGGAAATGTAATGTAATTATCTTCTCCACTACTCCGGAAAAGTCATTAAGTTATTGCCAACAATCCTTTGTTTGATTATGGCTATGACGTGTAGGTATTGTTCTATTAAAAAAATAGCAATAACAAAAAGAAAACCATTTTTTAAAAACTGGAAATTTTACAAGAAAAAATAAACATATATCTATGTGACCAGCATTTACAAAATAGTAATCAGTAAAATGTGTGTGTGTGTGATTATGGCAAAGCCCCTGCCTAAGGGGAGGGATGCCTTCGTGGAGGACTTTCTAAGGAAAACTGGCTCGTATACACGTTACAAATGGGGAAAACCACTATAATGGCCATGCAGCTAGCCCATTCGTGGGATTCGAACCTCGGACCGAACTACCAGTGTTCAGCGACTTTACCGCTCGGAAGTTGGTGGGCTAATCAGTAAAATTACAGTTAAATATAAAGTGTGCAAATTCATGAGTATTCAAACAGTATATGCATTAATGGGTTGGTTACTGTCTTGTGTATATTAAAAATGTACACCAAAAACATGGCAATTCTATTGAATGATAAAACCAAGAACATGGTTAATTCAGCTTAATGCGCAAAAATACTACACATGAATATATTATGTTTTTAAAAAAATTGTTTTGCAATTATATATATAAATTTGGTTAGGGTAGAGAGAAGGGTACCCCTTGCATTATCGCAAAGTTGTTGCTTCATTTATCGCCATGTGGTGGTTTATGGGTAGCCTGCGTAGTTGAATGTTTTGGAAACCTTATTATGACGTAATCAGTTGCATGATTGTGGTGAATCTGTAAAGGCTTGTTGTGCGTGTTGGTTAGGAAGTACATTGCTTGTTTTCTGGTTTAGACGGTAAAATGGCTGAATGTGGTAAGATTAATTTGAAGTTTCTGTACGATTTAGAAAGAAAGGGTAAAAGTGCATTACTTGACTGGTGTGTAAATGAAGGTTTACTTAGTAGCCATTATTAAGTGTCCTGTTTGTAGGGAGGAAATACATATGGTCAGATGATATGGAGGATATTTTGATACTATTCCGTTTTGAGGACCATAAAAATCGCCAAACTATTGTTGATGCCAGTGCTGCCAAAAATAATTGTGGCAACCCTAATGCAAGAAAGAAAGTATAATAATAAATAACTATCTAAAGATTGTTTTAATTTAGATGAAAGGTTAATTTCATATAATACTTTTTTATTATTATAATTTATATAAAAAAGGCTAAACTTAACTGAATGGATTCCTGCATCACTATTTCGCTACCGAGTTATCGCTAAAGCATAATTTTATCTCGTTGGTTGTTCAAACATAATTTTTTATAATGAATGATGCCTTTTCTTTGAAAAAATTCTATTGCAGACTTTTTGTCATGGGCAATTCCCAAATCGTTCAATCCATGGGATATCAAAAAAAGATTTAAAAATTAAACTAGTATTTCAATGGCATCTTAAGAAATATAGAACTATCTAAACTTACACAATTTGAAATCAGCACGTACGTTAGATTTGGCACGCTGTTAAATGGGCACGTTTGCTAGATTTGGTGCTTTTGCGCATACATTTTCGCTGCAATTTTTTACGGTCCTTAAAACGGAATAGTACTGATATTTTTTACTCTTATTTTGTGAATTTATGTGCCGACGCCAGTATATAGATTCTAGTTCGGATAATTTTAGGAAGTTTTTAGATGCAGTTAAGGAATTTTGTTTGACCGAAGACATGTTAATTTGTAAATAAGGTAAGTGGATATTTTCTTTCTGAAGTGCAAAGATGAATTTCCTTTTTTATGTGATTTCATTGTTTGATTTAAAATGTAGTTTATTGAGATTATATATTTTTTTGTTGGCTGCTCCTTTGACTTTTTAAGTGAATATAGTTCGATGTGTACATGGACAAAGTCAAGGGAGTGTGCAATGCCTAGTTTGTGCAATTCTCTGTTTTTATTTTAAGTGAAAAATAGGTCTATGTGTACATGGATAAAGTCAAGGGAGTGTGCAATGCCAAGTTTGTACAATTCTGGGATTTTTTTTAAAGTGAAAATAGGCTGATGTGTGCATGGATACCGAGTTTGTGCAATTCTTTGTCTTGTTATTTTGGCTTTGTGCAGTGGCGATTTTTGGCGCAAAATTCGCTGCTACACAAGCCAAAATAACAAGTCAAAGAATTGCACAAACTTGGTATCCATGTGCCGCCAAAAATCGCCAATTTTTGCCAAGAGGTACCCGTATATTTTTTACCATGTATTTTTTGCTCATATGAGTAATTGGTACTATAAATTACAACATTGTAAAATATATTTTTGGCAAAAGCATTCATTTTAAATAATGAAATACATATTTCATATAAAACTTATGTTTAGAAAGAGTAAATAAAAATACATTAAATAAAATTCTTATTAAAATAATAACTATTATTATTATTTTGTAAAAAAAAAAAAAAAAAATCCCTGCTTGACATATTTACAGTTAAGATTTACAAACAGATAATGACATTGAAATGAAAATTACTTACAGGAGTTAAAAATACTTCTCCTTTGCTTGTGACTTCTAAAACTGCATGATTTCTTGAAACTTTTTTATCACTGCACTGAAATTAATAAAAGGTAATATTTTACTTTTTGTATATATACTACATAAATATATACAAATCAGAACTATGAAAGTCTTGAAGTCATGCATAAAATATAAAATGCATTTTTCTTCTTATAATTCACAACTGTACATATTATTATCTCATATTTTTAGAGCAACATATTCTGTATACTGCTATATAACTAAATACAGCATGAAGATTTATTTACAGAATGAACGAGATCAGTGTTTCCCCAACTTTTTAACTCATAACCCATGCATAAATTGTGATTTATAACACTCTTTGCACATAAAGTTGTACTGAAAAAAAGCAATTTTCTAAGGAAAAATAATGTTCAAGAATTTTGGGAAGTTTTCAAAAGCTAAACTACGGCTTCACAAAAAAAACACAGGTACTTTTTCTTTAGCCGGGAGTTAGCGATCCTTGCCAAATATCATACTTTTTTATTTCATATTTCTGAAGTTTATAAAACATTTTAAAAAAGAAATGAGATACTCATTTTATGAAAACATGTTGCTTTATTTTCCAAATAGTTTATAATGCTGGTTTGATGCACCACCACTAACATGAAAAATCTCAGCAGCCATATGCTGTTAGAATTTTCATCAAAAGCGGTCACCTATAATTTGAAATTTCACGTAAAAGGCTTTCTCTTCCCACTCGTCTTTCACACACACACACACACAAAAAAAAAAAAAAATAAAAAAATAAATAAATAAATAAATAAATAAATAAATAAAATGATCAGATACAAATAAATGAATGGGGAAAATGTACTAACTTCAGATAGGGTTAAAGAGTTATAACTACATCTGTTTTGCATGACATTTTACTTTACAGTGACTTGATTAGAAAATAATCCACATGTTTCATCTGACTGGCAACATTTTCACCCTCAAGGCAACAAGTTTGAATGTAACTTTTTTTTTTTTTTTAATTTCAGCTAATACACAGATTCTGAATTTTGGATAAATTTTTGAAGAAAAAACACACTTTCAGCTTATATTCAAAAATATACAATAATTAACAATTAATAGGTAATTAGTTATAAATATGGTCAGAGTATACTGAAGGGTATGTATATGTGTAAACATACACATATATGCACATATATAAATACACACAAGCAAAAATATATACAGTTCTGAATCTGGTCCCGATAACAGAAGAGTACTGAAATGGCTAGAATATAACACCACTTTAAATAAAATATAATACACTGAATGTTCAAGTATAAACAGATTTTTTTTTATCTCTAGTCTTGTAGAGAATTCAATATACTCATGATTTATTAGGCAAACATTCATGTTTGAATTTGTCAATAGTAGTGCTAGTTTCCTTCCATTCTGATGTTAACTATAATGAACACTATCAGGCCAAGAGATTTATAATCTTGCACAGAAGTGAAACTTCATTAGATTTTTGACTATGAAGGTATTATTCCATCTCAGATTTATTCGAGACTTGAAAAATAAATCAGTTTAGAGGTGATTTGGCACCATTGGGTTTATCACTTTGGTCATTATTTAGAATTTCTAGGTGGAAAGAAATCCAAGACTAATAAGGAGATTACCAGCGATAAGCAAGAATGAGTTAACACACAGTCAATTCTTCTGGAATTATGAAACTTCATGGATGTTAGAATACACATATTACAATATTTCTAATAATTTCTGTGTAGGTGACTACACAGAAAAATAACATTAAATCGTTTAATTGTATTCAAAAAATAAATTAAAATTTAGCTGACAAATTCCAGTTCATTAACTGAATGTTCCTCATATAGAATTCCTCTCTTTACTACTTTTCTTTCAACCTGTTGAGGTTTTTTATCTGCATTGTTATTTAAGGCCTACACCAAGGTTATTGTACCATTAGACAGATATCTTCCCAAACAGTTATCTTTTAGCATGTGATGTTACACAATTACAGGAAAGCAACTACTCCCTTGGAAACTAAATACAATTCTCTTTGTTTGTCCTACTTCTGTAAGTCAATTGACTTACAAGAAATTTGAGCACTGGAAAATGTAACCTAGTTTGTATAGGGACCTTGGCCTATACCAGCTTCATAGCTGAGATATTACAAGCATGTGAAGCATTCTACCTAATATACAAATCATGATGGTTTACACAAATCTGAATTGTGAAATTTTGGTTTGGTTTGGTTTATATGAGTACAGCAAAGCCTCGAGGACCATCTGCTTGAGGGAAAGGATACTTTCTTGGAGGTCTTTTCTAAACAAAACTGGCTAGTATACAGGTTACACATAGAGAAAATTATGAAAACGCTCATGCAGCCAGCAAATTCACAGGATTCGAACTACCAATGCCTAGCGACTTTATCGCTCTGCTGCTGGTGAGCCATGAAATTCTGGTCTCGTATGAAAAGGAATTTCGCAATTATAAAACATTACATGACAGATTATATATTTTGGTTAGAGCAGACTGAAGGGTACCCCTTGTATTATCGCAAAGTTGTTGTTTTATTTATGGTAACTTGAGTAATTGAATGTTATGGAAACCCTATTATGACTTAATCGGTTGCACGATTGCGGTAAACTTTGAATTATGGGATGTCTTGTAAGGGCTTGGCGGTGTGTATTGGAAGTACATTGCTTGTTTTGCTGTTTAGACGGTAGAATGGCTGAATGTAGTAAGATTAATTTGAAGTTTCTGTACGATTTGGAACGAAAGGGAAAAGAGCATTAATTCACTGGTGTGTAAATGAAGGTTTACTTAGTAGCCATTTTCCGGACAGTCCGGAACTATGGAGGATATTTTTTTACTCTTATTTTTGGGAATTTGTCTCTGTGTAGTGGCGATTTTTGGCACTATAATTGCCGCTACACAAAGCCAAAATAACAAGTGAAAGAATTGCACAAACTCGGTATCCATGTATAAAGTAGTAGTATAAACAAAACTAGTATAAACTCGGTAGTATACACAAAAATCGCCAATTTTCACCAAGGAGTACCTGTTAATACACTTTTACCTACTATTTTAACATTAAAAAACAAACCTGACATTTTATTTGAAATAGAAAGAAAGGTGCAGCTCAAATGCAACAAGGAACAAATCATATTAATCATTTCTAATAGGAATGAATCTGAGTAACTAATACAGTCAGCATTTGTTAATTCAGATTCACATAGACCAGAAAAACTATCCAAACCATCAGGAATTAAGATTAGTAAAAGTAATTTTTCTACGACTGTTATTCAAATTAACCAAAATTTCAAATTTATGAGAGGTCATTTTACTTGTTAATGGACATATCACAACTCTGTTCATAATTTTCATGTAAAAAAAAAAAAAAAAAAAAAAACTAAACTCGGTAGCGCAACACCTGCAGTGCCCTAAAATCTGCTTTCTTGAGCTTGAGCCCCGGGGTGCATCAGCATTTGCATTGGGCAAGGAGTCAGTCTGTCGCAGGGCCACCCCAGAGTTTAGTCCCCAAGCAAACTTGGTACTCATTTTATCGGCCCACTCAAGGGATGAAAGGCTGAGTCACCCTTGCCCAGCCCGGGGGTCGAACCTCCCGACCTGTGGTGCAGCTGCGTGACACACTAGCCACTGGGCCTTATAATCTTTATGTATCAAAGTAAAAATTGATTGTGAATAAAATTTTGTCTAACATTTCTAAAAACTAATAAAGAATGATAGCTAAGAATAAAGTTTATGTCTTTCAAAACTATTAATATTATAGAATTTAAAAATTTTTTTAGCAAAATCATTCCTGATAAATTAATTATTGATCCAATTTGTAAACATCATTATTAACGCAATAAGAAAAAAAAAAAAAATGCTTTAAAAATGTTTATATATATATAAGCTTCAATAAAATAAACACTTCCTAATTATTTTAGGGAAGAAGAGGAGGAATCAGGATATTAACTGTTTTCATTGGTCAGTGCTGGTAAGCAAAATCAGCAATGCATAAATCATGAGTTTTAATGAACGAAAACTGAAACATTGCAGTAAAATCCCAGTAACACTTTCTTGCAACTACAATAAATATGGAGGAAGCAAATGGTTTTAAACCTCTTTAGCATCAAATAAAAATGCACAAAAAGAACTTCAGAGAGCAAACAAAAAATCAATCCAACTCAAAGCAGATACTCAAGCAGACAGCCCCCAACTAAATACACTTAAGATATCTAGCTGAATTTTTTTCATTACACTAAAATCATATTCAAAGTATATTTGAAAAGCTGCTTAACATGTTGTAAATTATATAAGAAACCTGAAACAACTAAAAATTAAAAAAATCAACTTGCTTTTCTTAAAATCAATTGACTGTTTCAAACAGCCTTTTCAAATACTTTGAGTTATGCTACCCACATTTACCATACAAATTCTGTTTAGGCTTAAAAATACATAATATATTCTTATAACCTAACATTTAAGGCATCAATCAAATGTTCAATCAAAATTCAATTCAAATGTCTTCTATGACTCTGAAGTTAAAACTCATTCACCAAATTTTGCAATAAGAGAGGACACTATAAACTGTAACAACCTGAAACTAAGATCACCTGATTAAAATGGGTGAAAACTGCACGGATGAAGTTCACAAATGCATCCAAAAACATAATACTATCTAAAGTTAATTAGTTTATACTTTAAAATTACATCACATCCACTTAAACTAACTGCGTTAGAAAACCTACCATTTATTTACAAATTTTTAAAATGCAACTATGAAAACATAACTTTGCTAATTTAAAGAGCAATCTGCCTTTAACTATCTTGTCTCTTTAACAGTTAAAGGTACATAAACATACATTTGACGTGCTGCATTGTAATGCATTACTTCGCAATCATTAACATACTAACGCAAATACATTTTATGTTTTGTATACGTCATCTTTTCCAACTAAAAATCATAATTAATATTACAAATTATTATAAACAATACACATATGAAAACACTAAAAACGTCGCCAAATTTGTCGCGGGAAATCTCTTCCAACAGGTTACTGAGTTTTTTAATTATAAAAATCAACAAATCTCCGTGGACATTATTTCGAGACATGCACAAAATATGCCCAAGATTCGAACTTTACACAAAATATACTTCCGGGTAAATGAGTATATACGTTAAGCCTAAACGCTATACACATCTAGATGTCTCCATACGTACGCCGAGGAAAGGTCCTCGCCCAATGGTCGTCTTGCCCACAGGTATCTCAACGGCCTTCTGTCCATCGTCCAAAGGCTTCAGAGTTATTTTCGACATTGTGATTACGAAATTGTGGATGATGTTTTTACATCCTACCGTTAATGTTTTTTTAATATCATTGAAATTCCTTAAGCCTAGAAATGATTAACACACCATTAGCAACGTAAACAAAAACGCTTTGCTGCAAGTTTTGCAGCGCCATCTGCCATACCAGGTTTAAAGAGAAAGTCTTCGTTGCTCGAAAATAACGGTCACTTTAGTTTTAGTTTTGTTACGATGGTTGGTCGCTAGGTGACGCATAATTAAATATAATTTCTTTATCATTAGAAAATGCTTATTAATTCAATTATTTAGAAAATTGAAATTTTAAAATATTGCACCTGACAGATATATCAACAAAAACTATCGAACTGCCTGTCGGGTTTTAGATGCTGAGTTATCTCAAAAGTTATATGCCTTTTTCTCCCTTTCTACCGTATGGTCGTAAGGCGACTGCTAACAAACAAAAATAGAACTCATAAATCTGCATTTTAAAGACAAAATAGAGTGTAAAATTTCATAAATGTTGAAACCTTTTATATTGAGTTAAAAAAATAACTCAGTTTAAGACAATGAGATACATAATGATGACATCAGAGATCACGTGACTTATGCGTAGCTAATGTAAACAAACAATGCAGATGACCTCTGAGATCACATGACTTATGTATAGCTAATGTAAACAACAAGGTCATTCTTCCTCTTCTTCTCTTGCGGAATGTATCTAAAGAGAGAAGTACTTGTTTAGGTCTGTAAAAATTAAAAACTCAAAATACAGCATTTAAATATGTAAATAAACTTTGCCTCACCATTTTACCTAAACAAACACGTCTGTATCAGAGAAGACGTGGACGTGTCAGAGAATGAACTCTGATACAGACGTGTATCAGAGTTCATTCTCAGCTAAGTATTTATTCTAGGTTTTATTTTTTCCTAGGTTTAAGCTTATATTTTAATATATGGGCTTATTTAAATTTACAAAATAAAAATGCACGAACTATTTTGTTACAAACTATTATAACTGCAAGATTTAACTGTTAACGGCATTAGAAAATGATGTAACGGTTAAGCTTTTAATTTGAGTTAGGTATACTTGGCAGCAGATATCCAACAGTCTGTCTTCGATCAGTCCGGAATTACGGTACGGTTTGACAGTACGGATTGAAATTTTCATCACAAATTCAGTTTTAATTCAGCAAAAGGAAAAAAAAGTTTAAAATAGTGCAAGAACTTCTCCCACTTTTCCTCAAGTCTATTTAAGCCGTTTATTTTTATGTAGTTTTAAAATTTTGCTCTACGCTACATATTTCTGGACATTTCACTACAGTTTTTCTGGATTTACTAGTTGGATATACAGTGAAATACGTTTAACGCGAACCGCATAAGACGAAATATCGGTTAACACGAAGTCATTCAACCGTCCTGACAAACTTCTATGTATTTTCACGCATTTTTTTCTCTTGACACAAAACGAAAATCGCTTAACACTAAAAGGGAATGAACAAAATACAGAAAACACCAGTCGCGCGGCCGAGATTTAAGAGAGGTGAAAGAAATGTGATTTCACATGTTTCGTGGAAAGGAGGCTATCTTGGCTTTGCAATAGCCATGAAAGGAGCCAGTTTTGTTTATCTAAGCTACCTTCACCCTCCAAACCTACAAAAGTGATACAAAAACATCTCATCTCTCATCACTTGGCTTTGGACATCAATGACGAATACATCGCAGTGTGAGTAAAAGTCAATGAGCTGGGTTTGCGTTTTATTTCTATTTAAGAAGACGTTTTTACAAGCACAATGGCAAAAATGTCAGGGAGAAAGAAAACTGCTTTTTCGCTTAAAATGAAGATGGAGCTTCTTAAGGCTGTTGGTCAAAAACAGAAGACTAAAACGAAAACCTGTAAAGATTTGGGTATTGCTAACTCTGCATTATCAACAATAATTAAAAAATGAGAGCAAATTACGGAAATGTTCGAGGCAGAGGGAAAACGGATGAGAACGGCCAAACACGAGGATTTAGAGACGGTTTTACTTGTTTGGTTCAAACAAGCGAGATCTGAGTATGCTCCTGTATCAGGACCTTTAATGCTAAAAAGAAGCAATGAACTTGCTAAACAAATGGGTATTATATTTCTGAAAATCCAAGATAGCTGGAACGTTTCAAAAAAATGACATAGTACTAAAAATGTTCGCGGTGAAGCTAATCAAGTTGCGTAAGGTTGCAATGATAATTGATAATTATCCGGCTCACCCAACGTTGTATTAGCTATAAAGCTTATCTCTTTGTCCCTGAATACAACAAGTATCTTGCAGCCTTGTGATCAAGAGATTATACAAAAAATGAAATTTTCTACCGGAAGCAATTGCGTCAAAAATATTTGCTTCCAATCGAAGCAAATGAAGATTTCTCAATCAGCTTAGTATATGCTCTTCATATGCTGTCTTGTGCATGGAATTCAGTGACTCCCAGGACGAATGAAAATTGTTTTCGTCATGCAGGATTCTGAAAAGTATGAGATTCTTTGACGCCAAAAAAATGGATAAGGAGGATAATGAAACTGAGCCGATACTCAATGAAATGTTTGAGAAGGTTTCTGTAGTTTTTGAACTGTCCTACTGTATCATCGGAAGAATTCGTTGCAGTAGATGATGATAATGTGCCCCCATAATGGCAGATAAAAACGTTTTGGAGTTTATTTGAAGCTAAAAAACATCATTGAGGCCGATTCCAACAACGAAAATGAAATGAATAATGCAACTCCTATTCCCACGTGATCTGAAATGAGGAACATCTTGAAAAGTAGGCATAGTTATTTAGACGCACATTGCAATAGTTAAATGAATAACAAAACCGACGACATCGAATAATGCAATCTGATGCTAAAAAAGACACTGCAAAGAAAAATATCAGATTATTTTCCAAAAACTCTGTAAATGTTTTGTTTTTAAAAAAACTTGAAAATTTTGCATTAAATTTCAACAAGTTCATGTGGATGATTCTGTTTCATTGATTTTTATTAAGTGCATGCATGTATATATATCTACGTAAATAAAATATAATCTAATAAACTTAATTTTGTTGAATATAATGAATTGATGCAGTTATCAATATGTTTGAATTAAAAACCAGCAAAAATTTCTTGCAGATAAAAGTCTTTAGATATTTGTGCAATATCCTTTAACACGAAAAAATATTTCGGTCCCCCTCAGTTTCGTGTTAAACAAAATTCACTGTATATGCAACTATGCTGGGGTGTTCAATCTTGAGCTTGCGAGCCAAATGTAGTGTCTAAAAACAGCTCATAGGCCAAATATTTTTAATCATATGCTTCGAAGCCTCCAGTTTCAGATCACTGCCTGACAATTTTTCGAAAGATAATGCAATTCGTTGTTATAAAGAAGTGGATGAAGATAATAGGACAAAGGCAGAATAAGTGTGCGGATATCGATATGTGCAATTTTTAGGGAATCAAAAATTCATTTCGAAAAACATACATTTTTAAAAATTATTTCTGATTGACGTTTAAATTCATTAATAGTGTTTTAATTATTGAAAAACAAAGAGAACAAAATTTTTAGAACTAATAAAATTTTTTTGCATATGTTTATTTCCTCCATTAATGTAGTTTTAAACAGGATACTTGTGGAACCGATTATCCGGATTATGCTAGGTATAACTGAGCATGGAAGCTGTATTATTACTCTGAATATCGCTGTTTATTACTGCTGTGTGTAATATTGTTTATTCTGTGAGATAATTTTAATAAATTTTGATAAAGTTTTGTTAAATTGAAAGCTGGACTGATTTTTATATTTATGCATATTTACTGATAAACTAATTGCAGCGATGAACTTGTAGATAGAAATTAATGTATGGATATCTGGATGGGGTTGTTTAATTAACTTCCAAATTCTACTAATTAGACTTATGGTTTAGCTATATCTTGATGGGCTAAATCTGTATGAAAAATTTATTTTAATAAACTGTCAACAGATGACGATCTGCAGTATTGTGTGTGCTCTATAGATTCCGATAGAAACATGGTTTTTATTCTCTATAGAAACATAGTTTTTATTCTCTATAGAAACATGGTTTTTATGCCCTATGGATTCTGATACGCGGTTACTATAATGTTGCGAAATGTCTACTGCGGTGAGATTGCTTCCGGTTAGGGTTGTCCAAAAATGGCAGGGAAGAGCAGGGTTCCCAGATTTGGCGACAAAATTGGCGATATGATATAGACGTAGCGAAAACATTGTAGAACGCAACTTTAGGGGTTTTCTCGGGAATATTCTCGAAGGTAGGTTAATGCTATATGTACCCAGCTTCTTCTGGGAGAAAGTAGTGTGGCTTGAATTATGGGATTAGCTTGAGAGTCATTGATCGAGCGGAGATCTGTACTTTAGTACTTTGTCGTGAAGCTGTCTTCACCGCTATATCCTGAAAGCTGCGTTGCTGATTTTTTCAGCGTACTTGTTGCAGTTTTTCGACGAGTGTAAACATGTCTTTGGAACTGTGCTTTGTAACAGTGCTTACTGGCGAATAAATTGTGTTTTGATTCTTTATCAAGTACTATCACCAATTATTCCAAATCCACGAACCCGTAGAAAACAACAATAAGGTTCTAAAAATTAAAAAAAAAGAAAAAAAAATGGTGTAGTTAAAAAAAAAAGTATTAACTGAAGCTGTACGTAACAGCTACAAAACTAATGTTTCATTCTCCGTCAAGCAGAAAACTTTAAGTAAAATATACGGAGGATCGAACTGAGAGTTTTATTCACTGCCTTATGGAAACATTTACGAAAAAAATGTCTTCATTGTCAGTTGCTTTAAAAGATGTATAAGACGCAAAAATATAAAAATAACTAAATACAACTAATAAAATAATTAATAATTAAAAAATAAAATAAAGTCCAAATTCAGTAAAATGTTAAGACATAAATAAAAAATTGCAATTTCTCTTAAAATGACTCCACAAAAGCAATCCTAAAGTGAGGTAGATGACGGTAGAGGGCTTTGTTATAATCAAATAAAGAAAACTGTCCGGATTTTCGTGAATTAGGTGAGGATTTTTACCGACATTGGCTACAAGATGCTGCTGCTTCCATCCGTTAAAAAGTCTGTAGAGTTCCTTACTTTGCTCAGTTAA